GCTGTTTTTTTCTTTTGCCCTACCCAGGTACATGGAAAGTTTCTTGCCTTTGGGGAATTGTGAGGTCTTCTGCCAGCCTTCAGTAGGTTTTCTGAAGGAGTTGTTACACATGTAGATGTATTTTTGATGTATTTGTGGGCAGGAAGGTGATCTCCATGCCTTACTCCACCACCATCTTGAAGGTTATCATATCACATATTTTTGACACTAATTATTAGCTGAATACATTATATGTTAATTTGGGGAAATGAAACTTAAATTTTAGATCTACCATCTTAAACTTCTACCACATGTAATAGAGTAATGCTGCTCTCTATTAACTGAAATTTAAAAAAATAACTCTTTTGAATGCAGTTATCATAAGGATTAAATAATTGTCATCAGAAAAAAAAAAAGGAGATTGGAGCAAATGAAACAGAGTATAGTTCAGCAAATATGAAAAGTATGTCAATGCCTTATGTGAGGTAAGGTTTCAAAATATAGTATTTCTCAGGATTTACTTTACCTAAACTAGAGAATTTCTTACTGATCTTCCTATTGTCCACTTGTTGAGTACTGATTGGTAATTCACCAAATATAGAGATTTCCTCACTAAACCCCCAACTCAGTGTTTTAAATTTACTTGTTTTGTAGATGAAATTGGGTTTGAAATTCAAATAGTATGAAGTTTACTTTTTTCCTAATCTGTTGGAAACAATCTACTGAATATTTGAAAATATCAACACATAACAATTGTTTTCTACCTCTCATTTCCCTCCAGCCTCTTCCAAAATGCCTTCCTCTTTAAGCATGCTTTATGGACTTGAGTGGTAGTTGGTTAAGTCATACACTGGCCAAACAATGCAAAATTGATATTAAAATATAAATCTTATCCGATGAATAGATAGGAAACTGTTTCATTTGTAGGAAACCACAAAATCATTTGGATTCCCAAATCATTAAAATTGTGATTACAGGGATAAAAAGGTATATAAGAAAATGCAAAAACCAGGTAATATTTGCTAGTATCTTACCATCTAGCTGTGAGTACTAGGAATGTACTGTATGTTACTTCATTTATGAAAAAATCACAACAGCATTTATGAATTTTCATGTGTAACTTCACCATGCACAAAAGGCATAGATATTTAGTCATTTGTAATTTTACCATATGCAAATTTGACTCTTACAAGATTTAGGACTTACATGTGGTGCAGACCCAGAAAATGGCCCATCTTCCACATTTCAGTGGGATTTACTCAATTTCTAGTTGTCATGGACTACACAGTAACTTTTTTTTTATTACTGCTTTTTGTGAAAATGACTCTAAAAGAAAGCCAAATGCTTTTATTGCCTTTTATAAAATAAATTTCGTACTAGAGACCTATTTAGCAGTTTGGGAATTTGCAAGGGTTTGGGGATCTGCTTTATTATGTCTCAGATTGTCACTGAGAGAAATCTAAGTAAATCCGTCATGACAGATAAAAGACTATTTTGTCTTAAAGCTTAAGGAATGAAAGCACTCTCCTATAAAATAAACTGCTATAAATACAAAGCTCATAGAAACCTAAAGCCTTTCCTCTAAGGTTTAAGCTTAAGGAAACCAGCACAAGCTAGGTCTGAAGGACTTGGCCCCTTCCTGCAACAACAAAGTGTGGACATCAAGGCTTATAGCTAGAAGCCATCTGCCTTTTACAGCTCCTGCTACAAATGTGGGGATTACCTCATCAATCCCTTCCTAGTGACTAAATTAACACATACATACCATTTATGATAAAACTAATGAGATCTCCTCCTTCTTGACTGCGGATTATTTTTCTACTCTCTTTAGGAGGTAATATCACAATTTTGCTTCCCCTTTGCCCTCTTTAACTCAGATACAGAGATTCCCTCCCAGATTCATTTTTTAAACTGTGATTTAGTTACTACTGCACAGTTAAAATAGGATTAACTTTTCTCTACTCATTCAGTCCCATGTTCCCAGTCCAGATGCTCATTTGGAATCATGAGTAACAGTTGTAATTCACATAGAAGTCTATTGGTCCTCTGCCTTTTTTTCAACCCAGCTGTATTACTCTATTACCTCATTTTCCAATTTCAGCCTCAGAATATATCTGATGGACAGGTGAAGCAAGTTCAGCTATAATCATGCTATATAACCTTGTCTACACCATGCTTTCTTTTTTTCTTTACAATATGAATATATATTAACAGATATGGAATCCGTGATTCCATAATCTCTGGGACAATCTACAGAAAACAGAGATGCCTAGAATAGAATCTAAAAGGTTAAAGAAAGAGTGCTCTCTCTTCTCTGGCTAGAAGATAATGCCAAGTTTGTGGCAAGGCTCTGTCTAAAGGGAAATTCTGCACAGACCTCTTTGTTAAATCTCTTCATAGGCCTGTAAGGAAGGTGATCAGGGAAAATGTACTGGGGTTTTAATAACTGTGACCTATTCTAGATAAACCACTATTTCAGTACTTTGCGGACCTTGCCAAATGGTTTCATAATGTAAATATTCTCTGCAGCAGTCAAATAAAAAGAAACTGGCTATGTTTTAACCCATTATCTACTGGTAGGGATTTTGAGTATTTGGCCTATAAACAGTTAGAAAAAATTTTAAATGCCTTATCTTAACATGAATTTTTAGACTTTTTTTCCTTACAAAATATATACAAAAGCATTAGGAATTTAGAAAATATAAAGAAATAGAAATCCATAATTCCATCAACCCAATTTAGATAATTGGCCCCTACCACAAACAACATTTTAGACATCTGTATCACTCTTAGGTTGAACAAGCAGGATTCATGTACTGTACTCAAAGCAGTGTTACAGTAGTTCCCTGTTATCCATAGTTTCACTTTTAGAGGTTTCAGATGCTCGTGGTCAACTGCAGTCCAAAGTACACTGAACGGAAAATTCCAAAAATACTATTCCTAAGTTTTAAACTACGGGCTGTTCTGAGTACCTTGATGTCATCTCAGGCTGTCCCACTCCATCCAGCCAGGATGTGAATCGTCCCTTTGCCCAGCATATCCATGCTGTATATCCTAACCTGCCCATTAGTCACTAAGCAGCCCTCTAAATTATCAGAATGACGTTGGTGGTATCACACTCACATAATTTTTATTATAGTATATTGTTATATGCTCTATTTTATTATTAGTTATTGTTGTTAATCTCTTACTATGCCTAATTATAAATGAAACACTATCATAAGTATATATGTATAGGAAAAAGCATAGTATATGTAGGGTTTGGTACTAACTGTGGTTTCAGGCATCCACTGGGAGTCTTGGAACTTATACTTCATGGGTAAGTGGGTCTGTTGTGCTTTGTTTTCCACTGCCCCTTTAAAACATCTGGAAAAGAACATTCTTCCTCAAACAACTAGAGGAAGAGTTCTTCTGATTACTGGTAATAAAATGTCCTCTAAGCAATTTGAATCGCTTGTCTTAAGTAAGTAATTAGAATGCCTAGTCTCATACCATGATCAAATCTGTACCATTGATTTAAAATGTCATCATTTTGCCCCTCTACCAGATTGGGGCTGTTTTGGGGGAAAGAGTATACTCCACCTTATTTCCTTCCTCATGCACTTGTGATACTCATCTATAAATTGAAGATAATAATCTGTACCTCAACACTATGGTTATTGTAAAGATTAATGTGAAAATACATTTAAAAATGCTTAGAAAAATATTTAACCCATATTTCTAACAATGTTACTTTTAGAAGTAACTATAAATATAATCATTATTATATAATTATTATAAATGTCCTCTTTATAATTTATTTGTTTGACTTATAAGGATTTTCACATATTAAATATTCTTCACATTGAAATTGTTGTATTCAGCTGTACAAATGTAGCATAATTTTCAGCGCTAAACTGGATGTATATATCATTTCAAATATTTTCTCACATCATTGGTAATCATTGTGTTCATCATCTCTGATTTTTTTCCCCTTTAGAATATACTGTTGAAATGGAATTACTGGGTCAAAACGATAATTTTAAGGCCTTTAATACATACTAACAAATCCTACAAAAATCCTACAAAATATCCTACAAAAAATTATTATCAGTGTGTATTATATTTTCAAGACTAACTTAAAATTCTGGCCTATTATCTACTATCAGACATTGATTTAAGTATAAGAGCATCCTTGGAAAATAAAAAACAGGCACAGAATGTTCTCTTGGGTCCTTACAGAGTGTGCCAACAGATTTCTGGAAACATTTTTTGCTCCTGGGAATTAGCTAATCTCATATAGGTTTGAATGAGGAGAAATCCAATATATCTTCAGAACCAGAGCATTCCAGGGACATAACTACACAACTACACTGATCATTCTTTCTTAATAGAAAAAGAAAATGAAGTAAGAATGAACAGTAGTGACTCTCTATTGTGGTGGCTCATTATGAGATACTTAGATTGAACTGCTTTAATTATGTAAATGCATCTGGTGGATGAGTATTAATAAACTCTTTAAATAAAATAAATCATAATTCTGCTTTTCCTTAGTATATTATATTTTAATTAAATTTTTGAGCACAGTCAGTAACTGTGAAGTTATACAGTTGACAAAAATTAATCACTAAGGAGTGTAAATCAGCGAGATACTAGTCTACCATAAAGCACATGGTAATTAGATAACAGATTAGAAGTTTTGCAGATGTCGCGAGAAGAAGACACTGTGGTTCTCATTTTTAGCATTCCAGATAGGTATTATGAAGGAAATGCCAATTTTATGAAGGTCCCACAAACTCACAATATCTTAAAGGTCTTAATATAAAATTATCCATTTTGGAAAGGTTATCTTCCTGTGATACCGTACGCCTCTTTGTCTTTCCACTCTCTTGCTCTCCCTCACACACACACACACACACACACACACACACACACACAAACATACACACTCACTCTCTCTCTCTTCATGTTCTCATATGCACATGTAACCCCAACTGAACAAAATATTCACCCTACCACCAAATAACAGCCATTGGACCAACCTTATAAAGTAGTGGCAGTTTTCCTAATTTCAGGAGTGCAATCTGATTTGTGACATTTTTCATTTTTTTAATCCTATTTAAATCATCTGCATTTCCATAACTCACATCAATGACTTCAGCCTGAAAGAGAAGACAAAGAAAAATAAAGCCCTGTCAGAAGCATTACAGCAAATTGCCCATTTAGCATAACAAAATCATTCATAGTAATTCAAAACGTTCAAAGGAGAACTAATCTCTCTCTTACCCTGTCCCAATCATGACCTTTCTATTTCTATCAGGGTACAACAATTCTCCTTTGAGAAGTCACTTGAGAAAAAGGTTTAGATTCATTTTTGCTTTGCAGTCTCTTCTAAACAAATTACAAACCCTGTTTATGCCTCTAACAGACCACCCAGTTTGGTATATTCTTACATTCATGTTTCTGGAATTTGAATCATTTTACAAGATGCTGCAAAATTAATTTCCTTAAGGTTCAACAACAATCATACTACTCTTAGATGTGAAAACAACTCAAAGATTCTCTACTGTTATCCAAATTAAGTACAAAGTTCACAATGCACAGCTGTTCAGGATGTGCATATATCCAGCTGTGAATGACAACCCCCTGGGTTATGCAGGATACAACCTATACAGCCACCTGTACCACTGTGAAATTCAAGACTTTAGAATATAACACCAAACAACTACTTCTGTCACATTTCCCATTACTCCCTTAGAGTTATGTTTCATATCAATATTTCTCATTTTTAAAAGTCTCATTTTATTAATGTAAAAATTGTATGCCTTCCTGGAAATTTTACTGGGAATCCTATGATTTGGTGAACCCCATCCCACACTTTGAAACGTACTGCCCTGAGAGTTCCATCCAGCATACTCCTACAGCCAAGAGGATTCCTTTGGACTTTACTTTCTGGAATTTCTATTATTAAAATAATAGCTGTTATGCCTTCCAGTCATAAAATTATAATACTAAATGTGCTGTTTCAGGAGGGAGGATCTTCAAGATGGCGGAGGAGTAAGATGTGGAGATCACCTTCCTCCGCACAAATACATCAGAAATACATCTACATGTGGAACAACTACAGGACACCTACTGAATGCTGGCAGAAGACCTCAGCCTTCCCCAAAGGCAAGAAACTCCCCACGTACCTGGGTAGGGAAAAAGAAAAAAAGGAAAAACAGAGACAGAAGAATAGGGACGGGACCGGCACTTCTGGGAGGGAGCTGTGAAGAAGGAAAAGTTTCCACACACTAAGAAGCCCCTTCACTGGTGGGGAGAGGGGGTGGGCAGGGTAGGGAATCTTTGGAGCCACAGTGGAGAGTGCAGCAAGAGGGGTGCAGACGGCAAAGCAGAGAGATTCCTCCATAGAGAATGGGTGCCGACCAGCACTCACCAGCCTGAGAGGCTTGTCTGCTCACCCGCCAGGGCAGGTGGGGGCTGGGAGCTGAGGCTTGGGCTTTAGAGATCAGACCCCAGGGAGAGGACTGGGGTTGGCTGGGTGAACACAGCCTGAAAGGGGCTAGTGCACCACAGCTGGCCAGGAGGGAGTCTGGGAAAAAGTATGGAATGGCCAAAGAGGCGAGAAACCATTGTTATGGGATGCGTGAGGAGAGGAGATTCAGAGCACTGCCTAAACGAGCTTCAGAGACAGGCGTGAGCTGCGGCTATCAGCACAGACACCAGAGACAGGCATGAAACGCTAAGGCTGCTACTGCAGCCACCAAGAATCCTGTGTGCAAGCACAGGTCACTGTCCACACCTCCCCTCCCGGGAGCCTGTGCAGCCCACCACTGCCAGGGTCCCGTGATCCAGGGACAACTTCCTTGGGAGAACACATGGCATGCCTCAGACTGATGCAACGTCATGCCGGCCTCTGCCTCTGCAGGCTAGCTCCGCATGCTGTATCCCTCCCTCCCCCCAGACTGAGTGAGCCAGAGCCCCCTAATCAGCTGCTACTTTAACCCCGTCCTGTCTGAGAAAAGAACAGAGGCCCTCAGGTGACCTACACACAGAGGTGTGGCCAAATGCAAAGCTGAAACCCAGGAGCTGTGCAAAACAGAAGAGAAAGGGAAATCTCTCCATGCAGTCTCAGGAGCAGTGGATAAAATCTCTGCAATCAACTTGGTGTAACCTGCATCTGTGGAACACCTGAATGGAAAACGAATCATCCCAAAATTGAGGCAGTGGATTTTGGGAGCAACTGTAGACATGGGTTGGCCGTACGCAACTGACCAGTTTTTGATTTTTATGTTTATCTTAGTTTACTTTTTGCGCTTGTTATCATTGGTGGATTTGTTTATTGATTTGGTGGCTCTCTTCTTATTTTTTCTTTTTTTATTACTTTTTAAATTTTTTATATTAATACTTTTAAAAAATATTTTATTTTAATAACTTTATTCATTTCATTTTATTTTTTTCTACCTTTCTTTTTTTTTCTTTTTCTTCTGCGCCATGTGGCTGACAGGGTCTTGGTGCTCTGGCCAGATGTCAGGCCTGAGCCTTTGATGTGGGAAAGCCGAGTTCAGGAGATTGGACCACCAGAGACCTCTGAGCGCCATGTAATAAAAATCAGCAAGAGTTCCACCAGAGATCTCCAACTCAGTGCTAAGGCCCACCTCCACTCAACAACCAGCAAGCTCCAGTGCTGGACGACACATGCCAAACAACTAGCAAGACAGGAAAATTGTAGAATAATACAAGGCTGACCAGTATTTATTAAATAAATGGTCACATAATATTAATGACCACATTGTAAAAATGAGATAATTTATGTTTTCCATTTCAACTTTCTAAGCTATCGACTAAATATGACTGATAGCATCTTAAAACAGATATTATACATTTGGTTATATTAATGAACATACTTTTCATATTTAGGAGAGTTTGGGGGAAAATCATACTGGTCTGAGAGCGTGTAGGCCAGACTATGACTTTTTGTTTGTGTACATACCAGAAAAATATGGCAGTTACTAAAATACCAATTCTGTAAATGACATCAAAAGTGGCAATTTCAATTAAAGAGCTCTCCAACTCATCTTCTATAAATAGCATATATAAACGATCAATGCATTTTAACATGTAAGAGGACTTTATCCCACAAAAATATTCCCCAAAACAGGCATCATTTTATCAATTTATTTTGGTTTATGTACTTTGAGGCTATGCATTAAAAGTCAATATTTACAGAAGTCTCAATGTTCTGACAGTTTGACAGGTGATAATAAAAATTATCTATTGTCTTCAAAGGATGCTTCTGAATCAGGTCCTTTCCAAAAGTCTTTCATATTTACCTTCAAGCAAACTGAAAATCACAGATGCAAGAAAGCACATTGAATTTTTCTGAGACAAATCAATATACAATGATATGATAAAATGTCAAGCCATTTTTTCCAACCATTCTTGTTGCTACAATGAACCTCTCTTTATTGCATGTATTCTGTCATGCTAGTTGGCATACCATGTTTAATTTATGTCCAAATATCAAGGATTAAGTCACATCTGAGCCGTCTTTGGGAAATGCCAAGTGAACAGGAATGTAGGTGCTTGTTGAACTATTTACTCTGTGTACCAGTTTTTCCCTAACACATAGAGGACTTCCTGACACATAGGAAAGAGTAAATGAGAGGTGCAGAGTGAAAGGAAACTAGTTCTGTTTTATTTTTTTTACCACAGAGAAATATTAAAAAGTCTACACATTAATTTTTATTTAAATTTTATATGTTAATTTTTTTTTTTTTTTTTTTTTTTTGGTACATAGGCCTCTCACTGTTGTGGCCTCTCCCGTTGTGGAGCGCAGGCTCCAGACGCGCAGGCTCAGCGGCCATGGCTCACAGGCCCAGCTGCTCCGTGGCATGTGGGTTCTTCCCGGACTGGGGCACGAACCCGTGTCCCCTGCATCGGCAGGCGGACTCTCAACCACTGTGCCACCAGGGAAGCCCTATATGTTAATTTTTGAACAAAGAACTTAAAAAACAACAATTGTAACAGAAAATCAAATATTTATACTTTGTTAAAAAAGAAAAAGTATCGGCATGACAACAGACGGGTCACATAGTAACAGCTAAGAGGATACTGGTACACTTTAGAAATGAATAGTAAAATACAATTATCTTCTATCCACTGTAAAATATGTGATTAGAAGGAATCATAAACCAAATAATTAGCAATGACTAAAAATCAAAACATTAAAAAGTGACATTCTAGAGCACCAAATGTTCTATGGAAAAGTGGAGAGACTATTCTGAGAAGAAGCAACAGAAGAGAATAAACAAGAGAACTGAATAGAATTGTTATTTTCTGTAGTAAGCTAACTAAAATTAATAGAACAATCACGGAAAGTAGCCAGGTCAGAGAAGTGTTTCTGGGGCCCTCCACCTGCTGGTGGCCTGGGTTCAACATTGAGGAATGATCCAGGGCCATGTTTCTCTTCTACCTGAGGTAGCAAAAATTATTCATGCTTATGAAATGATGTATGCCTTGAAATTTTTCAGACTTGACATTTTCAACCAAATCAATCACTCTGAATCCTCCCAGTTTTCTCTAAGACAGATTCTGAATGTACAGAATATTTGAAAAGCCTGCTTTGACTAAAACAGTAATTTTCTACTCAAAGTCAGAAATGGTAAACCCAAGCATTTCTCATACTGACAAAACACAGGGTTATCAGAAGTACTATTCATCTAAATACAAATTTTACTTTAGAAACTTACTACTACTACTTTATGTAATCTAGCTTTTGAATATTCTTCAAATTAAAGTGCTTATGTTTATTAAAAACTTGTAAAATCAGAATAATCTCCCATGTTTACTGTTATCCTTTCTAAAAAAATAGTATATTAGTAATGATGAAGAGTTCAAAATTCAAAGACTGTTAGTACTTTCTTAGTTCTTTTTTTTCAAGTTCACTGAAGGGCTTTCCATCATAGACCTTATTATGAAAACCACAATGTATTAAAACACGAAAGCCAATGCTGCTTCCTTCCACCCTTGTGGCAGACATCACTAATCAATCCTTTCAAACTCCTTCTCAAACTAGTATTCTAGCTAATAAAGACCAGTTAAGATGGGGTTGGCATAAGCATCCAGATATATAAAATAGTAAGTATTTTAGTATTAAAAA